GTGTGTGTGCGTACGCGCGTGTGTGTGCGTACGAGCGTGTGTGTGCTTGGGTGTGTTGTTGAGGGAGAGGGGTTGATGGTTAGATATGCATAGGGAGGGGTGTGCGGGGCGGAAACGATTACGCATGGGGTGTGGGTGGGCAGGCGTTGGGTGCATCTATATCATCAAGAGCTAATACATAATTATAATAATAATAAAATAAAATATAATAAAATAAATAATAGTAAAAAAAAAAAAAATAAATAATAATATTAATAATAAAAATAAATAAATTAATTATTTTTAATAATTATTAATTTTATTATTTTAATATAATTATAATTTATTAGCTCTTGATATCATGTATAGGTGTTCCTCGGAGAGGGCTGACTGCTTTCGGTGTAGATGAAGTGAGGGATAGACGTGATGTATAGGTGCGCGTGAACCTAATAACAGTAATCTAGTAAAAGGCTGGAGGGGTAGACTTGGTAAGTATGCACGTGTGTGTGTGTGTGTGTGTGTGTGTGTGTGTGTGTGTGTGTGTGTGTGTGTGTGTGTGTGTGTGTGGTGTGTGGTGTGTGTCGTGTGTGTGTGTGTGTGTGTGTGTGTGTGTGTGTGTGTGTGTGTGTGTAAGTGGGTTTGTGTGTGTGCGTGCGTGCGTGTCTGTGTGTGCGTGTGCTTGCGTGCGTGCGCGTGTGTGTGCGTGTGTGTTTTATGCGCGTACTAATACGACGAGCGAGATTTACCGGCACAATAAAAACAGTAGATGTAACTAAAAGAAGCATGTAATATGCTGTAATATAAACTTTCTTCTGCTTTGTTGTCAGCGTATCGTGAAACAACAGGTTTTCCTGGCTATAAATGCCACAGGGTGGAGGTTAGGGGGGTCTAAGATCCCCGACATCTGCTCCTTACATGCGCAGCTTCTGGTAAGTGTAAACCCCTACTAGCAGCTGTCAGTGTCATGCAGGTTTTGTTAGTCGTTTCCTAGAACGCGTGCTCTCCATATCTCCTGCCCACGGCAGCTTTCTATGAGCATGGAAACGGGCGGGAAATATAGCAGAACAACTTGAGGCGTTTCATTGTTGTTGTCGCGCTAATATTTTGATTGAATATGAGTCCGGGATTTTCTACCCGTATCGCTTTCCTACACGTGCTGCGACTTGATCGTCCACACTTAATTACACGTAACAACCTTCGCTACCTCATTACGTCTCGTCATTACGTCTGCAACCCTCACCAAACAAACCCAATGTCTCATGTGTGTGTGTGTGTGTGTGTGTGTGTGTGTGTGTGTGTGTGTGTGTGTGTGTGTGTGTGTG